AGACTGAACTCACATTATCGCAGAAGATGAGAGTTGCTTTGATGAGTGGAACGTGAAGTTCGAGTAGTAGATTCCTGAGCCAACATGTTTCGGCCAAGGTGTTTGCAACTCCTCTGTATTCAGCTTCGGCGCTTGAACGGCTCACTGTGTGTTGTCGCTTTGAAGACCAGGATATCAAATTGTCTCCAAGATAGATGCAGTTGCCCGAAGTTGATCGTCGTGTGTCTGGACACCCAGCCCAGTCAGCGTCGGAGTAAGCTGTAAGTGCGTTTGTTGTCGACTTGTAGAGCTGAAGCCCAAACGATTTGGTTCCTTGGAGATAGCGTATAATGCGTTTGAGGGGCTGCATATGCTGGACTCGTGGATCATGCATGAAGAGACAACATTTCTGGACGCCGTAGGTGATATCTGGTCGTGTGAAAGTGAGGTATTGGAGAGCTCCGGCTAAGCTTCTGTACTGTGTGGGGTCTTTCACTTTGTCACCGCCTTCAGCAGATAGCTTAGCGTTGACATCAACAGGGGTGGAGAGAGGCTTACAGTCGGCCATTCCTGCTCTTTCTATGATCTCGGTGGTGTATTGTTGTTGAGACAGCAAGATGCCGGATTGGTTGTACTCGACTTTGACACCCAAGAAGTGACTTAGTCTTCCCATATCGGTGATTGGAAATTCACTTTTGAGACTTGTTGTGATCTTGTGGAGCAGGGAGGAACTTGAACCTGTTAGAACAATGTCATCAACATAGAGCAACAGATAAGCAATGTCAGATCCTCTTTTATACACATAGAGAGAAGCATTTGATTTCGTGGAGACAAAGCCTAGACGAGCGAGGAAGGCGTTGATGCGGGCATTCCAGGCACGTGGAGCTTGTTTTAGGCCATAGATGGCCTTATTTAGTTTGCAGACGTAATGCGGCTTGGTCTTATCGACGAATCCTGGTGGCTGGTGCATGTAAATAGTTTCTGAGATGGTACCGTGCAGAAACGCATTCTTGACATCGAGTTGTCGAAGTTCCCAGCCGCGAGTGAGGGCTATGTTGAGGACCATACGGATGGTGGATGGCTTGACCACGGGGCTGAAGGTCTCGTCATAGTCAACTCCTGCTTCTTGCGATTTGCCATTAGCAACAAGGCGTGCCTTGTGACGTCGATGAACTCCATCTGCATCATATTTGTGCTTGTACAACCACATAGAGTTTATAATGTTAGCTCCAAAAGGCCTAGGTACTAGACTCCAAGACTTATTTTTAATTTGAGCACCGTACTCTTCAGTCATGGCAGGATTCCAGTTTGGATCAGCAAGGGCTTTTTGAGGTGTGGTTGGAAGGCGAGACACAGACGATGAATATAAGGAGAAAATTTTCTTTGGTTTTACAATACCTGCCTGTCCACGAGTTGTCATGCGAGCAACAGTGGGAGCTGCATGAGCACGACGAGTGGTGACTCGAGACGGAGGTAATGGTTGAGATTCAGCTGGCGTAAGTGGTGGTGCCGAGCTTGACTCGAGAATGGATTTGAAAATAGGAGAAGGAGAGGAGTCTGTGTCATCAAGAAAGCCATATGAGGATTTTTGAGAATCGACTTTGGCAGCAGGAAAAGTGCTCTCATCGAAGATCACATGTCGAGATATGATGATGCGATTTGTTTGAATGTCAAGACAGCGATACCCACGGTGTTGTAATGGGTACCCAAGAAAGAGACATGGACGTGATCTAGGAGAGAGCTTATGAGCATTGTTGTGATTCACGTTTGGGAAACATAAAGAACCGAACACCCGTAGGTGATCGTAAGATGGTGTTTGGCCAAAAAGAATAGTGTGAGGAATTTTGTTACCAATGGAAGTGGATGGCAGAATGTTAAGAACATGAACAGCAGCATTGAGAGCCTCGACCCAGAAGGTTGGAGAAAGCTTGGCTTGAAAGAGAAGGGATCGAATAGCATTGTTGATTGTTCGAATCATCCTCTCCGATTTACCATTTTGTTGGGAGGTATGAGGACAGGAGAAACGAACATTGATCCCATTTGCTGCAAAATGATCAACGAATTTATAGTTGTTATATTCGCCGCCATTGTCACATTGGAAGGCTTTGATTGATGACTTAAACTGTGTTTGCACAAGAGAAGAAAAATGTAAGTATTTAGCAAACACATCACTTTTGTTTCTGATTGGATAAACCCATAAGTAATGAGAGAAGTCATCAAGAAAGAGAACATAATATTTTATCCCACTTAAGCTTGATATAGGAGATGTCCAGACATCACTGTGAATAAGATCAAAAGGCATATTAGTGTGAGTACTGGACTTGTAAAAAGGAAGTTTAATGTGTTTCCCAAGTTGGCAAGCATCACAAAAAGAGATGTGTTCTTTATTACAAGACAAAGATTGTGAAGAAATTAAAGAACGAACAACATCATTATTAGAATGAATCAACCTTCGATGCCAAAGAGAAGGTGTATCAACAACCATAGCAGAGAGCTGCCGAGTCTTATTCAAAATAGAAGGCACATGATAGAGATCTCCAGTTGAATCACTGCGGAGAATTGTTTTCCGCGACTGTAGATCCTTCACAGAAAAGCCAAAGGGATCAAATTCCACAGAACACCAATTGTCAGTAGTGAATTTACGAACATAAATAAGATTTTTCACTATCTGAGGAGCAACAAGAACATTAGAAAGATTAAGGTTTCTGTGTTTGCAAGGAATTAGAGAAGACCCTGAGTGTTGAATAGGAATAGTCGAACCGTTACCAACCACGACTGATTTTCCGGTATTCAAATTAAAAACAGACTGGAGTATACCTGAGGAGGATGCAAGGTGAGCCGAAGCCCCTGAGTCCATATACCACGGTGTCGGTTCTGCCAATGACATCGTGTTGAATGAATCGGCAAAATCTGTGGTTGGGTGGATCATGTGAGCTTCATGACTGTTTTGGCTTGTTGGTCGTGGAGTGAACGGTCTTTGATTGTAGAACTGCTGCGGGTGCATCCATGGAGCAGGTTGATAAGAGCCTGGCCAGTAATGCTGTGGCATGTTCCAATTGCCGTATTGAGGACGGAAGTTCTGATTGTAGTTGTTGTAGCGTCCCCGTCCCCTGTTTCCACGTCGTCCTCTGTTGTTTCGGTTCTGATTTCTAGTGTTGTTGCTGTTGCCTTGTTTCGTCTCCTGATTTGTAGCAACAAGGGCAGTTGATGACGACGAGTGATCGGAGTGAGCAACGTGAGTCTTATGCGGTTTCTTCAGCCTGGTTTCTTCCATCTCAAGCATGCTCTTTTCTTCATCAAAGGTGGGAAAGGGTTTTTGATGTTTTATGACATTGATGATATGATCAAACTTCTCATTAAGACCATTCAGCATGTACATGACTAAGGTCTTGTCACTTACAGGCGCTTCCACGTTCTCCAGAAGATCTGCAATGGATCTGAGACTGAGAGAGTAGTCATGGATGGAGAGGTCTCCGATCTCCTTTGTTCGCAGGTCGTTGTCGAGCTGGATGGCTCTAGACTCTTTGTTGTTGCGAAATTGGTTCTCGATACGGGTCCATACATCACGTGCCGTACCACCAGCCTTAAAACACGTTTTGAACAGAGGCGGTGCTAGAGTCCCGTAAATCCAGAGTTTCACGAGGCCGTCTTTCTTCTTCCACGGTGTGTCGTCATCACCGGTTGGGACAGAGGAACCATCGATATGTCCTAGGACGTCGAAGGTTAAGCAATGAGTTTGCATCAACTCTCTCCATGCGTCATAATTGAAGACGTCGAGATCTAACACCACGGGGATATGGTGTTTGATGTTGGTAACACCGAACGCGCGCTCAACTGCTGCCATTAAAGCTTGGTTGGAGACACTACAGATCGATTATTACAGAAGAGCGAAAAGGGAAAAAAAATGGATCTGGTAGAGCAAGCTCTGATACCATGAAAGTCTGCGTATCTACTTGATTAATAACGTTGATGTACAGGAGTATATAAGGAGCTATCTGTTACGATCACAAGCGATCTTTCCTATATTACAGGAACTGAATACAGAATATTGGGAATATTCTTTCAGTTACCGTTTCTGAATCTTTTGAGATCTCCTATTTTCCATAGGAATCAAATAAGAGCGGACATGCATAAACGAGATCTGATCAACACGCAAGAGGAGCGATCGTACTCCTGGTATCTTCTTGTTGCTTTGTTTGGGCTCTAAAAAAGAAAAAAGAAAGATAAGAAAGGGGATGTATATGACCTTTGCCATGACAGGTGCGCTTGCTTGGCAGGTTACAAACAAACTCTTGATAAAAAAAAGTGTAAGTTTTTGGTTATGCGGAGAGATGGGAGATGGTATGGGATTGATTTGTGTTCTTTCTTTTGTCCGTGCTCTCCCTTCTTGCATACACACGTTATGCTTCTTGCATACCATATTATGTTTCTTACATAACAAGAACATGCTTCTTGCATACCACGGATTCTTGCATAACACATTATGCTTCTTACATAGTTACATGCCACATTATGCTTCTTGCATAACACGTACATGCTTCTTGCATATACCATGAATATGCTCCCTGAATATGCGTCTTGCATACCCCATTATGCTTCTTGCATACCACAAAAAGAATCACAGACCCAAGATTGTGGCATCACTTGTGCCTTTCTAATACATGCGGCTTCCATATAAACGAAGAGAATCAATGAGCATAACTTGTGCTCTTTATTATGCTTCTTGCATGTATGTGCTAATCATCTCAAGGGAAGAACGGACCTGACATTGAGACTTTGAAGACCAAAACGAAGGTAATCAAAAACTGAGTCTAGTGCATCTTGTTTGATTGCATCTTTGGTTAAATGCTGTTTATTTTGCATTCTCCAGCTACTTAACTGCATAGTTGTGAGCTTGTGCTAGATCAGAATATGTTTGCAGAATACTGTTCTGTTACTCTAGTCTATTGCAATCTAGTCGCGTGCAATTACTCTCACAGATTATTGATAGAATACTATTCTGAATAAATTCTCAAGCTAAGATGGATAGTGGATTTGTACTATCTTATTCATTTGGGATTGGGATATGCGGCTATGATTATAAAGCTACATGTATATATACATTATTAATTAATGGTTTGGCCCAAGTAATTGTTGTTCTGATGCGTTTGTGGTGTGTGGGTAACACTTAAATGTGTTTTCAGTTTCAACATCAGGACATTTGTCAACGAAGAGTGATGTATACAGCTTTTGAGTAGTGTTACTCGAGATACTAACTGGACGAAGATCAGTGGATAAAACCCGTCCCAACGGTGAACAAAACCTGGTGGAATGGGTGAGACCTCATCTTGTAGACAAGAAAAGGTTTTACACATTGTTAGATCCTCGGTTAGAAGGTCACTTCTCTATCAAAGGTGCTCAGAAAGCCACACAAGTAGCGGCTCAGTGTCTTAACCGAGACTCGAAAGCTAGACCAAAGAGTGAAGTTGGCGAAGTGTTGAAGCCGTTACCAAGTCTTAAAGACTTTGCTAGCTCTTCTTCTTCTTCTTTTTTTTAGACAAAGCAGCCTGTTGTTGTTAAAAACGGTGTGAGAACACAAGGACGAGGAGGGTTTGTGTCTTGTAGAAATGGACAGCCTTTGAGGAGTTTGTCTAGTTTAAACTTGCCTCAAGCTTCTCCTTATCAATCACCAAAGCCTAAAGGAAAAGAGCCAAGAAGGTCTAAAGATTTTGATTTTTAATGTGTAGAAAATGTAAAGGTTGTAGAGTGTAAACGTTTCTTATAAATGGATGTCTGTAAAAAAACTTATGTTTACTCTGTAATACATGTTCTGCTATGCATTGATTTTTATGTTTTTGACTCGGGTGAAAATATACAAAATCCCATCTGAGCATGTCTTTTTGGTAAACATGAAAAAGAAGGCAAAAAAGTGGAGATGCGGGGTATCGATCCCCGTACCTCTCGCATGCTAAGCGAGCGCTCTACCATCTGAGCTACATCCCCGTCGATGCTAAACTTTAAATTTAATTATATTTATACACAAATCTCTTTCTCTTCTATACAATCGTGACGAATCACTTCTGTGTCTGTCGGAGATTTTTGAACTGCGACGAAGATGTTGAGAAGATTACTAACGCAAACAACCTCTCGCCGTCTCCTCTCTTCCAACACTCCCTTCTTCTCAAAACCCTCTCTTTCACCCTTCTCCTCATTGCCCTCTTCCCCAGATCCACCTTCCTCGGCGAGCAGTAGCACCACCGTCGAAAATGTCGAAGACTCAACTTCCGCCGCCGCCGGAACAACAATCTCCATCGACCGTTCCTCTCTCTTCAATCCTCCCGGTAAACTAATCCACCTCCACATTCAAATTTCACAGCTTTGGAAAATCTGATTTGTTGTTTTTGAAAAACTTAAGACCACTCTCATGAACCCACACCTGACTCCGAACTCGTCAAGCATCTCAAGAGCGTTATAAAGGTACCCTACGCTTACTCGTTATTAGTAGAAAGATCGAAACTTTGAATCAGTGGAGCTTCGAAAGATTGAAACTTTTTTTTTTGATGAAATTGAATGCACATCGCAGTTTCGTGGTGGGCCAATCTCAGTGGCGGAGTATATGGAGGAGGTGTTGACTAATCCTAGATCAGGTTATTACATGAACCGTGATGTGTTTGGAGCTCGAGGTGATTTCATTACTTCTCCTGAAGTTAGTCAGATGTTTGGCGAGGTAAAACGTTTCTTTGTTTGTTTTTTATGAGTGTTTGTGTGTTTTGAGATTTTTGTTGTTGTTGTTCTTACTTTAGGTGTGTTGTGAATGTTAGATGATTGGTGTTTGGAGTGTTTGTCTTTGGGAGCAAATGGGAAAGCCGGAGAGGGTTAATCTCATTGAGTTAGGTCCAGGGAGAGGAACACTCATGGTTGATCTCCTTCGTGTATGTGTTTCTCATGCTCCTATTCTGTCTCCTTGAGTCTGTCCCCAAAACTACCTCACTGATGATGTATCTGTCCACGTTTAGGGTACGTCGAAGTTTAGAAATTTCACGGAGTCGTTGCATATACATTTGGTGGAATGCAGTCCTGCGTTGCAGAAGATTCAGCATCAGAACCTGAAATGCGTAGATGAAGGTAGTTCTGAGAAGAACGCTGTGAGTTCAATAGTTGGGACACCTGTGCATTGGCACGCTTCTCTTGAAGATGTACCATCAGGAGGTATGCATGTTTTGTTACATTTACTTGGGATTTGGGTCTCTTAATATAGCAAAAGTCAACGTAATTATGATGCTCTGCGTTGTTTCTCATTGGTATCTCTTGTTCTATTATGCAGTACCAACAATAATCATAGCTCATGAGTTTTATGATGCTCTTCCAGTTCATCAGTTTCAGGTTAGTGTGGGTATAACTTTCAATATTGTCTTCTCCTTTTAGTTTAGTATGCGTATCTTATATGGACTTTCTCTGCAGAAAACTCCCCGAGGCTGGTGTGAGAAGATGGTTGATGTGGGAGAAGATTCACAGTAAGTATTTGTATATAATATTAATATGCAAAGAAAACTTCAGAGCTGATAGATGCGTTGTTGGTTTTAGGTTCCGTTTTGTTCTATCCCCACAGCCTACACCTGCAGCCTTATATCTGGTGAAACGTTGTACATGGGCTACACCTGAGGAAAGGGAGAAGCTGGAGCATGTCGAGATCAGCCCCAAATCAATGGATCTGACTCAAGAAATAGCCAAGAGAATAGGAACTGATGGAGGTGGAGCACTTATAATTGATTACGGGATGGATGGAATGATTTCAGACAGTCTTCAGGTTTGTCCTCCTAAAAAATGGTCTGATCAATGCTTTATGAAGTCTTTTGTGTCTGAATCTATGGATATGATATAAGGCTATTAGAGAACACAAGTTTGTCAACATACTGGATGATCCAGGGTCTGCGGATCTAAGTGCTTATGTTGATTTTCCATCAATAAAACACTCAGCTGAGGAAGCTTCAGGTTGGTTCATGTGTTCGCTTCTCGTCATTGACTCATTGGTTATAAACTTACTTAAACCAAATGAAAACGTGTGTGTGTGTTGTGCAGAAAATGTGACAGTACATGGACCTATGACTCAGTCTCAATTCTTGGGTTCACTTGGAATAAACTTCAGAGTTGATGCGCTGTTACAGAACTGCGACGACGAGCAAGCTGAGTCATTGAGGTCAGGATACTGGAGGCTTGTTGGAGATGGTGAAGCGCCTTTCTGGGAAGGACCTGATGAACAGACACCCATTGGAATGGGCACTAGGTATCTTGCAATGGCTATTGTCAATAGAAACCAAGGCACTCCGGCTCCATTCCAGTAATAAAGATTGAACTTTCAGACAAGGACACAAGACTCTTTTGATTTATTATTTGACTTGCCTTGCCTTAGTCATAAATCTTAGGCTGAAAGTAATAAAAAAACTTTTGAATTTCAAAAGCTTTTTCTATATGTTATGAATCAAATATCTTTATTTTTATGTTGAATTGTATTATTAAACTCTTTAAGCAAAAAAAATTAAACAATGTAAATTAACAAAACAAATATAGAAAAAAATACATCAGTAAGCATATAAAATAAATTAACACTTTTCTTTTGTGTATGGACTAAAGACTTTTAAATAAAAACTGTATATTTGCTTTTCGAATAATTGAATGTCAATGAATCAAATGTTTTATAACATAACCTATGTAGCAGTCTTGAAGGTTGGCATTTTGATTTTGGTTGAGAGAATATAAATGTCAAACCCAAAACATAAAAAGTAAATAGCAATAAACCGGTCAACTGAACCAAAATTAATGTCCAGATCACGTTACGTACTTCGGTTTAGTAATTGCGCGCGTCTTTGATCTAGCAGACCGGTACAAGGACAGTATTGTAATTTCACGTGCAAACAGAAAATCAATCAAAACTTCAAAGATGTGACGTCTATCATCTTCGCGTCGATCTCTCTCTCTGCTTGGATATTTTCTCCCTCCAGATCTCTCCCGTGTCAATCTTCGAGATCTGAATATCTCCTGAAGGGAAAGATGTACGGATTCGAGGCGCTTACGTTCAACATCCACAGCGGATACTTGGAGGCGATCGTGAGGGGCCACCGTGCTGGACTTCTCACCACCGCCGATTACAACAATCTCTGCCAATGTGAAAACCTAGACGACATCAAAATGCACCTCTCCGCCACCAAATACGGCTCTTACCTCCAGAACGGTATACGATCTTATGGATTTTGATTGGTTTGACTTTGGGTTTTAGGCTTACGAAATGATTTCAATCCTTTAATTTTATTTCTAATGTATGGAATCTGCCTAATGGTTGATTGTTTATAGTATGTGAAATCTGTGATCATTATTATTATTATCTATGGATGCAGAGCCGTCACCTCTGCATACGACAACAATCGTGGAGAAGTGTACACTGAAGCTTGTGGATGATTACAAGCATATGATTTGCCAAGCTACTGAGCCTATGTCCACCTTCTTGGAGTACATCAGGTTAGTCATATATCGATCAACAGATTATGTTTCTTCAGTAAATGATAGCTTTTTACTGATTTGTACCTTTGTCGTTTTCACATTGATTTCGTTTTGTGTATGTATATCATTTGAGATATTGGATTTGTTCTCTTAATATCATAATGCAGATATGGCCACATGATTGACAATGTCGTGCTGATTGTTACTGGAACTTTGCACGAGAGGGATGTTCAAGAGTTGATTGAGAAATGTCACCCTTTAGGCATGTTTGACAGGTACCCACATTTGACCTATTGGATCTTCTATACCTCTTACTGTAGTTGCTTTAGATCTTTTTCTTTTAGTTTTCCTTTTTCTTTTAGTTTTCCTTGTTTATGTTTTTGCTCATTATTTTTCTTTTCCAGCATTGCCACATTGGCTGTTGCTCAGAACATGAGAGAGCTCTATAGGTTGGTGCTTGTTGATACTCCGCTGGCTCCATATTTTTCTGAATGCTTGACATCAGAGGTACATAGCTTAGACATTTACTGTTGTTGTTTTTCGTTTTTGACCTTGTGCCACTGTTTTCTAGTTAATGGATACATTGGTAAATTATGAATTTTGATGAACGTTTATATCATTTTCAGGATTTGGATGACATGAACATAGAGATTATGAGAAACACTCTATACAAAGCATACCTTGAGGATTTTTACAAGTTCTGTCAGGTGCTAAAATCGTTTTTTCTTACAAAATTTCATAATCTACCTACATTAGCTAACCCGGTTTTGCTGTGGATCTGGAATAGAAACTTGGAGGGGCAACATCAGAGATTATGTCTGACCTTCTGGCCTTTGAAGCTGACAGAAGAGCTGTGAACATCACCATCAATAGGTAATTAGTTACTGCTCTATGTCTCCATTCATCAAACTACGAGAGATGTTACCCTCTTTGTGTTGCCTTGTTTACAAAGGCATTGAAACTTATTTTTCCTTTCTATACAGCATTGGCACTGAGCTCACAAGAGAAGACAGGAAGAAACTGTACTCCAACTTTGGTCTCCTGTAAGTAGCATTTTACAATCAAATGATAATTTCATTCAATAGTTGCTTAATATTCTGAACCAGTTTTTGACAACCATGGTTGTGATTTTTCTTTAAACAGCTATCCATATGGTCACGAGGAGCTTGCTATCTGCGAAGACATAGATCAGGTAAATCCGCAAACTATAATATATTAGGAATCTACCAAGTTTACAAATATTTGATCTTCTGTTAGGTTCGTGGTGTTATGGAGAAGTATCCTCCTTACCAAGCTATATTCTCCAAGATGTCTTATGGAGAGAGCCAGATGCTGGACAAAGCGTTTTATGAAGAAGAAGTGAGAAGGCTTTGCTTAGCCTTTGAGCAGCAGGTTTGTTTCCATATACATTAAAGACCCGTAGAGTCAAATCGCATAACACGTCGTGTGTTAATACGGGTGTCAGTTCGTGTATACTAACTATGGATATTTAAACCTGAGTTTTGCAGTTCCATTACGGGGTGTTCTTTGCGTACATGCGGTTGAGGGAGCAGGAGATCAGGAACCTGATGTGGATATCTGAATGCGTTGCACAGAACCAGAAGTCGAGGATCCACGACAGTGTTGTCTACATGTTCTGAGTCCGGTAAGAAGTGAGAGACACACATTAAAATGTGTTATAAAATTGGAGAATAAGAAGAAAGAACCTGTTTGATTCTTGTTGGTTTTCTTCATTGCTCCGATTTTGCTAGAGAAATCTGATGTACAATCTGCGTTTTTTATTTACATTTGCTGTCGACCCAAATCAGAATCTCTCTCCCATTTGTTTGTTTGTTTTGGCCATAATTTGATTGGTTCTCTATTGCCAATAAAATACTTGTAATAATATCAAACTATTTGATTTATCATGTGCATTTTTAACATTATATGTTTGAAAGTCCTTTATTTACGTTGCTGAATGATTATCAAGTAAGAAGTTTGACTAGTGTGGCTAATATTAGGTGTTACTTGTATATGCATTTTAATTAATTTTAAAATCTTTTAATGTACTGATTTTCAAATTTAACATAATTATTACTCATTCTCCTTCTGTTTTAATAAGATAAACTAGATTTTGACCCGCGCTTAAAAAGCGCGGGTTTATTTTTGAAATAAAACAGATTCTTCTAAATGAATTTTTATATAAGATAATGTATATGTTATACATTTTTCCAGGTGAATCGAACTGTATCAAACTGAAAAAAAAAAACAAAAATTAAACCAAATTTCATAAATAATCGATCATATCATATATTTTCTGGAACCGAACCGAGAACCAAATGGGTATTTAAAAATTTA